AAGGGGCGTGTCACTTTGCAACCTGCGGCGCGCCCACGTTTTATTGAATAGACAATATCATTAATAAGAAAAAAAAGCATCACAATGTACAGCGAAATGGCAAATTAGTCAATTAGAAAAACTGAAAATGAACAGTGAGATTTACCCGGATGAGTAGGTGTCACAAGTGCAATTTTTAGAATTTTAGAAATTAAAGGGTTGTCAGTTTAGCTCATTTTCAGAAAAAAAGATTAGCATTCGATAGAACTCTGAAATTAAGAATACTTTAGGCTTGTAAATCAATCTTCTCAATTGGCTCTGCTAGTAATTGCTCCACATTGTCGTCATGAACGTCTTCGTCTCCGAATTCGTCACATTCGAGAAGTTGAACACTGTGGCAAACTGAGTTTGGACATTCACGAAGATCATTCAATGCCAGAATCAATGGATGTTGTCCGCAAGTTACTTGAACACGTCCGACGCATTCATAACCGCATCTGAAATTATTGAAGTAAATATTTTTCGCCTCGACGGATACCCCGAAGAAGCTGTTACAAAAATTATTGTTTTTCAACACAATCTCTCGACAGGTCGAACAATATTTACCTTGGTTATCAGGGTAAAAACCAAAATGGGAAGTGAGCGGCGGGAACCTAACCTAGCGCATGTGCCGACACTTTGCGGGTTCCGCGCGTCACTATGTTTTGTGTGCGGTGGGCGGAGTCAAACAGAAAAGAGTGTTTTTCTGCGATTCAGAGGTACTAAAAATAAGGTTCTGCAGAGGATTTTAAAGATTCTTTTGATGTCATTATGAATTATCCAAATTTCAATTAAGAACGATTGTTTCATGTAATTTTCGAAACTTTTAAATTTGAATGTTGAAAAAATTTTCCAGATTTCGTTGTATTTAAATCTTTTAAGGCAGTTTAAGCTAGAACAGAAAAAAAAAACTAACCTTTTGCAAACAACATGCGTTTTCTTTCTGTCACAAATACATTCCTTCTCATCTGATTGTGCAATCATTGGAGCAAATGCATTGGGACGTGGCAAGGAATACTTCTGAGGACCTCCTTTTACATGAAGAACACGTGGCGAAGACAGTGTAAGCGTTGGAGACACCTGTGGAGCAATTCCAGAAGAGCTCATGGAAGATGAAGAACGAGATGAAGGCGTCGACGAAACTAGATGAAGGTCTCGTGGCGATGAGGGATACTGTAATGGTGGCTGATATGGAGTCATTGCTGGTGGAGATTTTCGTGGAGACGTGGTTGAAGGCGAAGAAGACGTTTTCTTCGATACGGGGGCGTTTGATTTTTGACGGTTAGACTTCTCCTGAAAATTTGAATGAGGGTTATGAGGATAAGAGAAGAACGGCGAACCTTGAAAGAAGAAGTCGTGATGGTTTTTTCCATAAGTGGGCGGGGCTTCTGCTTCTGTTGGGCAGAAATTTGTATTTGCTGAAAAACGTAACTCATAGTATCTACAGTAACCTTCGAATTAGTTCAAAAACCTTTTCATTTTTTTCAGTATTCGTCGGTTTTGATTGCGGGCCGCGACCACACTCGAGCAGCTTTCTAGGCACATAGTATGCCTGTGTTGGGCGCTGATTGCTGAAAAAATGGGAAAAATTAGTCTGAAAATGCTTTTGAAGAGGATTTTCAAATTTGAAAATTCAGAAATTCAGAAATTCAGAAATTCAGAAATTCAGAAATTCAGAAATTCAGAAATTCAGAAATTCAGAAATTCAGAAATTCAGAAATGAAAATTAGACTGAAAATTTTTCTCAGAAACTAAAAAGTTTAAGAAAAAAATGTTAAACAAACTTGGAGTGTGGTCGCGGTGCCGCTGGAACGTCCATTACCTGAAAAAAGGCTGATATTAAAAAATTTGGGGTACAGTAATCTTTGCAAGAAAGAACTTCCAGATTGAATGAATTAAAAAAGAGGAAGAACTGAAGAAAAAGTTAGGATACATGGAACGAAGCTTCTAAAGAAGGAATGTAAAAGAGACGGTTTTTGATGATGAGGATGATGATCGTAAGGATAGATAACACAGAGAGATTCAGAGAGTCGACAGAGAATCAAAGACGATAAGAAAGTAGAAAGAAGGAAAAGGAATTGCAAAAAAAACAAGCGGAACAGAACATGGGTGTCTCGGGATGGAGATGACGTGGCAAGATAGGAGGAATGAAGAAATGGGTTGAATGCTGGTTTGAAAAGTGTGAAAAAGTATCGAAAGACAGAAAGAAAGGAATGGTTTAAAGTTGATAAGCGTTTTTGACAGTTTTATGGTCTGAGTATGGCAGATAAAGAACACAATTATTGATGGAAAATTTCGAAAAATAGTGGGGTAAATGTCTAGAAACATAAGAGAGATAGATAATGAAAGATGAAACCATAGAACTTATTTTTCAGAACCTAACTTTCAATTTTGAGCCAATTTATCTCATTTCCGGTCAAAGATAGTAAAAATTGGTCATTTAAGAAAACGTTTATCATAATATCATAAATGTTTTGTCATTTGACACATTTTGATATCTTGAGTAGGAATTGAGATAAATTGGCTCAAAATTGACAGTGTGAATTGTAAAAAAATTGTATCAGAACATTTGGAAATTACAGTTAGAAGTTCCTAAGATTCTGGAAGAAATTTTTAAAGTTGTATTCAGCATTCACGATATTCAGAAACCTTTGAAATTTTCGAAAACATTTCAGGCAGATTGCGGAAGTTTGAGTAGGGAGCTGTTTGAAAAATGTTTTTTTAAGTTTTGAAAAAATATTGTTTTGAAAAAATACGGTAAAACCTATATTAGAAGGGCCCCTTTTAATTGAAGGGCCCTCGAGTATAAGGGCTCTCCGGAGGTACCTTGGAACAATAGAAGGGTCTTCTAATACAGGTTTTACGGTAAGTCGTTGCTTTCAATAATTCACAAAATGCTTGATTTCTGAGAATATAATTTACAATACACCTTAAAAATTGGCATCAGAAGACGTCAAAAGAATTTTTGGGGTCTAATTAAAATCGATTAACACGATATAAAGATGTATTAGTAATAGGTAGTCGTACTCGGGTCAGATTTGCGAGAAGAAGATCCGAAATGAAAGATAACAAAAATAAGATATTACTGTACTTATTAAGATACAGGAAATATTATGATTTCGGAACGGAAATTCGCATAAAAATAAAAGTCCTTTTGTCGACCAGAAGAAAGAATGTCAGCTGAAACGGGTTCCGTACACATTTTATGGCTGTTGGTGATGATGATGATATGTATGACAAAGATGGTGATAACACATTGAAAACAGAAGAGAAAGAATTGAGGAATTGATTGATGTTTACAAAAAAACTGATGACTTTCCATTTGAATGCATATGATACATTTTTTGTTTTATAATTGATTATGAAACCTTTTTTATATGGAGACAGAAAATTTATATATTAATGGAGAAGTGGTTGATAAGAAAGGTGGTGTACGGTGAATTTTCTACTGATTTTCAGTGTTTTTACAGATTTTTCCCGAGTTTTCCAGGTTTTTTGAGATATTTTGAGAGAAAATTCCAAAAAAAACCCTGAATAATGTGAGAAATCACTGAAAATCAAGTAAAAAAAATCAGCTGCGAAATTTTGAAAATCGAGCATTTTTGAAAAATCAAAAGTTTCTAATATCGAATTTCTATGTTTTTCCGGAAAATTTGCAAATTTCGAAGTCCTGGGAATTTAACGATTTTTTAGAAGTTCTCAATTTGTGAAAGATTCTGAATTTTTAGAAAAGTTTTGAAAAATTATCTTTTAATGTTGGAAATTCTAAATTCAGAAAATTCTAATTTTTTTTAAATTTTAGGAAAATTTTGAATATATGAAATTCGGAATTTCTGAATTTCTGAATTTTCTCAAAAAATTCTACAATTCTAAAATTGGAATTTTCAGACTTTAGGTGTTGGAATTCTTGATTTCAGCAATTTCGAAGATCTGAAAATTTGAAAAAAAACCTGAAATTCTTGAAATTTCTTAAACCTTTGAAATTTTGAAAACCTTATTTATTTTTTTGGAATTTCAAGATTTTTCAAAATTTCTTTTTTGGATTTTTGATTTTCTCCGAAATCTCAAAAAAAAATTGAATTTTGAAAAATTTTCGTAAAAAATCACAATAATTTTAGTAACTTTGGTTAGACAATACCTTTTCTCAGACAAGTTAAAAAGTTCAAAAAATGAAAATTCCAGAAAAATCAGGCAAAATTCTCAAATTCTGTATACAAGACTGACTCAGCCACATTTTTAACACCCCGAGAAAGTTGAAAATGACCAAAAACCGCAATATTGCAGCGTACTTCTGAAACCCAAACCTAACCCTCTTTCTCTCTCCGTTGATTTTTTTCATGTTCAATTACCTACAATTAGAGTGAACAGATGATAATAGAGACGCAGACATTTATATTCTATTCTCACGTTATGTGTGTCATATCTGTATACCCTTTTTTGGTTCGTTTTTTTTTTGGGTCGGGCGGTTTTTAGTTTTGTACATACTGTACATAGACTGGAATCTACAGATGATGAGGTTATAATGATGAGGAGAAGGAATTTCGAAAAAAAAACATGTGAAAAGTTTGAACGACAAAGACCAGAGGACGGTTTGGATTTCAGAGAAAGGGAGATTTTTATCTACAGTAATCCGGTTTCAGAAACATTGAAACTTTATGAATCCCTCAATTTGGAGTGCCCTTCTATTAGAGGGGGCTTCTATTTTTCCGGTCATATTTTCCAAACATTTTCATTTTGAAAAAATCGGTGAACACTCGTTTAAAAATCATTTAAATCGATCTATTCCTATCAAAATTGAGCCAGTTTTTGAGCAAAAAAAAAAGAAAAAATTGAAAAAAAGTGTGACAAAATAAATCAAGTTCTATAACCCTCATTCAGCACCCCAGGAATGAGACATCTGGTTGTGGTGACTAGCTCCAGATGCCATTTGAAAAATAAGAAAACATAGGGAAAATTTTTTAGAGACATCAGAAATGGAAAAGAGGAAAAAGTTGAACAATCTCATCATGTCACCACTATCACTTTCTTTGTCTTCTCTCTCTCTCTCTCTCTCTCTCTCTCTCTCTCTCTCTCTCTCTCTCTCTTTCTCTCTCCTTCTACAACTTTCTCTGTCCATTTCTGTTTGCAATACTCTATTCTCTCTCATTTTTATTCTTCTTTGTACCGTCATTTCGAAAGTGAGAATTACCTTCGAAAAAAAGATAAATTTGGAGGGTAACGGGCAGGTGAATGGAGAAGAGGAGAAAAGTTACATTCTGGGCGGGAAAGGATTTATTTGAATTTTCCAATCAATTTGAAAACTTGAGTAAAAAATTCGACAACGGAAAGTGATCCGAAAATTTGGATCACAAAGGACCATAAACTTGTAATAGAAGGGCCCTCTTACTATTAACTTTCCGTCCATTTGTCTCGATTGCTGTGAAAGAAAAATTTTGTCAACTGACAAATTACTTATCATAATATCACCAATATTTCATCAGTTAACAACTTTTGATATCTTTCATAGGAATCGAGATATTCGAGTTAAAAGATGATGGTTGGAGTTTGCCTCTATTAGAGGAAATACGATAATAAAGAAATTATTAAAACAAAATTTCCGTATTCGAAACTTTTATTTTGAATTCAAAACACTTTGGTTACAAAATGAAAAAAGTAATAATAGTAAGCGGCTACCACCGTTCCATATTCGAAATACGGTCGCACAAAAGTCTTATATAGTAATGACATTAATCTAACGTTCTTGCTATGATAAGTTTTAAAAATAGAGTAACTAGCATATTTCGCCCTATTGATAGCTTTCTGCCAATGGTTAGAGAAATCTAATCTATCAGTGATCATAAATCCTAAATCCCTAACTGTAGTTTCCCGTTTAATTTTGTCGTTATCAAGGAAATAATGTATATATTTTGGGTTTTTACCAAGACTGATGCAGCAGGTTTTTGATAGATTTAATTCTAGTTTAGCATTCATTGACCACTCATAGATTTTATTGATTGATTCTTGCAGAGATCCTCCCATGTCTCCTTTTTTAATTGGGCAGTAAATTTTTAGGTCGTCAGCAATCTATTTTACTTGCACTGGCGATGAAATTTCTGCGCTCAGGATATTAACATAGACACAAAACAAGACTGGTGACAACACCCCACCTTGAGGAACTCCGCATACTACTTGCTTAGGCGAGGAAATATAATTATTGATTTTTACCCTGAATGTTCTGTTACTAAGATATGAATTTAATCCTATAGAGGCCAGCTTTTCAAGTAATAAATTATGAGGTACCTTATCAAAAGCCTTACTGAAATCAAAATAAATTATGTCTACCTGATCCCCTCTTTCAAGACTAGAAGTCCATTCATTTAAAGATTCTAACAGACAGGAAGTTGTTGATCTACCTACTCGAAAGCCGTGTTGGCTGTCACTCCAAAATTGAATATTTGCTAGATGGTCATTGATTCTTTTCAGGATACACCTTTCGTAAACTCTACAAATAACGGAATGAAACTAATAGGCCTGAATTGGTTTGGGCTAGAAGGAGTTTCTACTTTTTTTTATAGGAATAACTATCGCCTCGTTCCATTTTTTCGGGGTTTTTCCTGACATCATTGAGTAATTACAGAGTTGTGCTATTGGGCTAGCTATATATAAATGGATGTCCATTTTAAAAAACTAGAAGGAATATCGTATCGTACGATATATGTACTTGAGAGCTCTCAAGTGTCTTGAAGGGTCAGAGAACGTAGTATGGGATTGAGTTAAAACTGTAAGGCATCTTATTGGCTCTAGAGGTACATACTTGTTCAAAATCACGTGTGTCAATGAAACCGAAAAAAGTTTAGCGTATCAAAAATCTGAAAAATTAAACAAATATTGGGATCATGAAAAGAACTTGAAGGAAAAAAAGAGAGGAGCGGATATTTGGAAGATCATGGGAAGCTTTAATCTGAGCTTTTAGTTTCAGACTGATTCATTAAAAAAATCAAAATTTCCACTGGCAGAATGAAAAAAAAACTCTGTTAGTTTCAAGGTAGAAGCCTACCCTATATGTGCACTTTGAGCACAATTATCTCAATTCCCGTTAAAGATATAAAAAATTTGTCCACTGGTAAAATATTGGTGATATTATGATAAACATTTCACTAGTTGACCACTTTTTGATAACTTCTACAGAAAATGAGCTATATGAGCTCAAAGCTGACAGTTTGGGTAGGCTTCTAAAGGGTTTACGGTAGTTTTGGTTGTGTCAAAAGTAATAGGAAAAACAAAAACATGCGCTCGAGATCAACTTTACGAATTTTATTCTAAGAGCTTTTGAATCCATAGAGCCGAAAAAAAAAGAAAAATGAATCAATCTGCCAAATTCACTGTTGAAAAGTAATTGTTCCTGTCTGTACTTGCTCCTTGAATTGCTCATTCTCTCCCTCTCACAGCAACAGACCAGACCCTTCCTTCATTTTTCTTCTGTTTGCCATAGAGCCGGAGGTGTGAGAAAACTGTACTAAGCTCTAAGGGAGTCAGACAACTCTCAATTTGATCTACTATTTTCATGTTTGCTACGGAAGAAAAACGTTGAATAGAAGGGAAGGGGAACAAGGAACGAATACAATCGAAATTTGAGACAATTGCAATCGGGGCGAGAACAACCTATTGGGAGCACAAGGAATCAGAAACGGGAGTCCCGAGAGAGCAACATGCTGGGAAATGGAAGAGCAGTTGGTTATGAGAAGAGAATAGTGTATAAGATGAAGAGACGCAGAGAAAATGACACAGCATTTTTATGAGGCAAAGAAATCTATGGTGGAGGTGGGGTTCTCGTGTAAAAAATGATGAGAAGGGGATTGAAGATTGACACCAGGAGATGGGAGTGTTGCTAAATATTGTTGAAACATCTGGTGGAAAGCAAGTGGATTATGATGAAATATTTTTTGTTTGAAAAGAGAAAAAAAAACAATATATAGTGGGGGCGAAATACATAGAAGAGACCAAGAGACCGTATTTCGGAAAACAAGCTCCAAGGTCAAATTCGAAATAAATTTTTTAATTTCATGTAACCATAGAGATGCATTTATGATCAAATTTTCGAGACAGTTATGTTTTTTCATGTCCTCTCCCCCTTTAAACCCAGAGAATGACAATCATTTCAGAAATGATCCGAAACAGGCCAAAAATTTGACTTTTCCTAAACTAGGTCGAACACGGTTCTGAAATTCTCAAAGACTAAACCGAAAAAGCACAATTAAATGACCATGTACCGGATGGGTATGAGAAATTTTTGAAAAATTGTCCTAGTGAAGTACAAAATAGTTTAAAATACATCAAAAATTGACTAAGACTGGTCACTAAAATGGTGAAAAATATACCGTATTTCCTTCAACAGAGGCCCATCCAGATCGTCCTCTTTGAGCTCAATTATCTCGATTCCCGTTAGAGATATCAAAATACGGCCAACTGATAAAATATTTATGATAATATGATAAATATTCTATTAGTTGATCACTTTCTAATATCTTATACAGAGAATGACATATATGGCTGAAAGTTGATGGTTTGAATGGGTTAGAGAAAACATGGTACCTCAATTCGGAAATTTACAAAAATGTTTTCTCCTTAACTATTCCAAAAAGAGAGATTCATATGCTATTCTTGCTCCACAACTTCATAATCCCAAAGGTACAAAATTCGAAATTATGGAAGAAATTAGTAAGCATACATGCAACGGGCCTGGGTTTTTTTCCCAATGTTCTCGGCCCGGATTTCTGTAAAATAATCAACTGCAAAGAACGGAACGTCGTTAATTTTTTTTTTGAACAAAATATTATTTTAGGAAAAAACTGAATTTTGTATATATGAAAAACCGGGTCCGGACTTTTCAAGCATGATAATGAGTAGTTCCACAGATAAATACAAAGAATCACAAACATAACAACATTACTGAACGCATTCTCTCCAGACAAAGAAACAAAAAAAATAAACGGTCGAGAAAATAAGAAAAAAAAAGAAAAAGATGAAGCCAGAAGGAAAATGTGAGTGTCAAGTGAGTGTCACTCTTGTGTTTAAAACCGTTCATAACTAGCCTCTCATCCATTTTTCTCTCGTTTTTTCTCCTTTTTCTGCCAGAAAATATGTGTGATTGAGTGTCTATTTACCGAAGGAAATGAAGAAGAACAAGAAAGAAAAAAAGGAGAAAACGATCAGTGTTAAGTATCCCTCCAACCGATTCTTGTATTTGAGACCTCGCTCCCGAAAGATCATTTTTCTGCGTCTCCGCGTTCTTCACACTCTCTCGTTGAAGTCGTTAACTGTTAACACCCCATTTCGAAGGCAGCGATTGCAACAACTTGAGAGGGGAAATGGGATGGAAAACGGATATGTAATATGCAAATTGAGACCGAATGTGGAACAAGAAAAAGTTTTGAAATCGGTCAGAAAGATGTTGACATATTACGGTATGCGAATGTGTAAGCTTTCCATCTCGGGCGGGCCTCCCGAAAACGCCCGTCACCCGACAGGGTAACGGGCCGCCCTACACCCGCCCTATACGCCCGGTTTCGTGGTCCAACAAAATTATGTCACGATGATTAAACGCGCGCCACACTTTTTGAAATATTTTTTGACGCAAAACAATAAATGAAATTTAATTCGGGCGTTTCAAAATACAGGGCGGTCAATATCTATACGACCCCCCCCCCCCTAGTTTTTGGGCGCACAGAAAAAACTGGAAGAGATATCAAAAAACGGTAAATGCCATCCGATTCACAATCAAAAATGACCTCTACAGACAAAGTTTCATAATTTTAGCACTTTCCCTGAACATGCACCATCCAAAAAACCCATTTGCAAGCTGTCAATATCTATACGACCACCTGGAAAAATCTCAAGTATTTTAGAGAGCAAAATTGAACTTTTTTTGGTTGTAATTTATTAAAATAGTCCTAAAACAGCATATTTTGGCAATTTATACAAAAACTGATTCCTCTATTCAAGTTTCAGAAAAAAAACTATTTTCAGTCATTCTTGCCATTTTTCAGATTTTTGGAATAAATCTTGAATAACTTGGCTCCTAGGTAAGATTTTGAGCTGAAATTGATAGGAATTACTTTTGCAGTAGTCCGAATTATGTACTAACTGTTGTTATGGTATTCTGAACCGTTGTTTGTGATTGAAGCCAAGCTGAAATTTGAAAAATTGACCTTGAAATTCGGTGATTCTGATTTCTGTAAAAAACTTGATTGAACTATTGAAATTCAATTTTCAGTACGAAATAACAATTTTGATGACAATTTAAAATACCCAGAACATCTTTCATACATTTTAGACAGCTTTGAAAAATTTTCAGTTGGGTGTACTTTTTCAGCTCAAAGCTCGAGCTCAGATTCAAGTTTCCGAGGCTCAAAACGCTTTGAACACTTGCAACATGTTCATGATCATTACTAAAATATTCCCTCTAATGTTCAGCTCAAAATCTTACCTAGGAGCCAAGTTATTCAAGATTTATTCCAAAAATCTGAAAAATGGCAAAAATGACTGAAAATTGTCAGTTTTTGTATAAACTGTCAAAATATGCTGTTTTAGGACTATTTTAACAGATTACAACCAAAAAAAGTCCAATTTTGCTCTCTAAAATACTTGAGATTTTTCATTTTTCCAGGTGGTCGTATAGATATTGACCGCTTGCAAATGGGTTTTTTGGACGGTGCATGTTCAGGGAAAGTGCTAAAATTATGAAATTTTGTCTCGGGAGGTTGTTTTTGATTGTGAATCAAATGGCGTTTACTGTTTTTTGATATCTCTTCTAGTATTTTCTGTGCGCCGAAAATCTAGGAGGGTCGTATAGATATTGACCGCAATGTATAGGGCGTCGGGCGGGCGCCACACCCGGGCGGGCGGGGCGGGTGAAATTCGCCCGAGATGGAAAGCTTACGAATGTGAAATAGAAACGAGGGTGGTCGTGGCCAAAGGTCTCGCAACGACAACTACAGTAACCTAAAACTCATAGAGTTTTCTGTTACTTTTCTCCAACATCAATGTTTTTGATAGTGAAAAATTGACGGAAAATGCACGAAAATCGAGATAATAAATCTGGAAAATAACAGTATTTTTAGGTTACGGTAGTTATAGTAGTTTGACCTTCGGCCACCTCTTCCACAGCTCCGATCTATTCGTACCAGAATAATACCACAGTCTCAACAAATGAAGGTCTTTCAAGATATAATTAGATAATTAGAGAAATTTGTAATCAGAAACTTTATTTTGAGAACTAAAAAAAGTAGATCATTTTCTTGGTTTGTATCGATACTTCTTCCTTCCTCCTCCCCCAGCGTCAGGAGATTGAACCATGGGAAAGTCGGTGAAGTAAGCCGAACGGTCTGAAAAATTGGAAGTCAAAAGAATGTTAAAGGGTTTGAATAGGTTACCTTGTTGCTTCTGAACAGGACTGTTTCTACGTGGCTCGTCGTCATCTACCATCACAGCTGTAGCATTGGCGTTTACTCCAGGCGGTGTTGAAGCCTTTCTGTGATTCGATCCTAATAATTGAGGAGCCACTGGGCGAACTGAAAAAAATTTGGAAAAACAGAATTTTATAAATTTTGCCTACTTTCAGAAACGTAGACACTTCTGTCCTTTTTTTCATTGGTCTCCGTACTATCCCCAGTTGTAGTTGTCTCCGCTTCAGAGACTTCCTTTGACCTCTTCTGTCTATTCGCTTTTTGTTGTTGCGATTTCAGTTTCCGGGTTGCTGATCGATCATACCTGAAAAATGAAATCGAAAAAAAATGAGAAAAATGCAGGATACCATTCAGGAGTCCATTTCTCTCCAGAAGTCGTCTTTCTGTTCGTTGTCAGTCCTTCTACAAGTTTTCTCGAAATCTCCGGGTAAACCGGATAGGAATCCGTTCTGATAAGCTTCGAAATTTCCAAAACTTGAGATGGAAAGTCTGCAGTTCGATTTGGCAAGCTCTTCAAGAAATCTTTTTTCATCGAGGCCACTTTGTCAATTTTATTGTTGTCTCTCCATGGAAGAGGTTTCATTCTGAAAATGTGGTTGGGAACCAAAACTAGAATATCTAAAATTACAAATCAACCAGAACATAAAACCACGATTCCAAATCTTGCTGGAAACTGGAATACAAATTGGAAATCAGAAGATCGTGAGCTTCAAGTGATAAATAAGGCAATGTGTTACCATCCGGGGGACTCAATCTAAATTTTTAAGTTGACTGAAATATTTGAAATTCGAAAACCATACGGAGAATTTTTGCCAACCGTTATCGTATCCCCATAATCAATCAAATACCATTGATCGCGATTTTGATAGCTCAAGACGATATTCGTTGGTTTGATGTCACGATGAACCATTTGATAACGATGCAAGAACTGAAAAAATAGATTCTAGAATTTCAAAGATCCGAATTCCGAAATACTTTCAAAGCCGACAAAATTTCCTGTGCAATATGGAATGCAGACTGTACACAAAACGGTCCTCCACCCATTTGCTCTCGACATTTCTCCAAGCTCACATCGAAGATGTTGGTGACTGAAAGTTCGGTTTTCTATAATTTCATTGAAGTCTTCAAGTACCATAAAACGGGACTCCTAGAATTTTTCCCTGATGAAGAATCGGCGGAATACGTGGCGGTTTATCGTTTCCTTTTGACCAAAGTGTCTTCAAAGCGTTGATTTCTCTCTGGAAATTGTATTTGTCAGAATTTTTCAGAATTATAGAGAAAAATCACTAACTGATAAGCGATAAACGATTTGAGGACTCGATAACTGTCTCAACGCAGTTTTCATCATGAATCTTGAATTTCCAACCGACACCACATCATTGCTGATAAAGTCAAAATTTCAAAATATTCTACTTTACAACTCACTCGACAGCCGATTCATTCTGAACCATGTAGATTGCTCCAAAACGCCCTTCGTCAAATTTTGTCAGAATTTTCAGACGAGTCGTTGCTTTTTTATCGTCATTATCTACTCTGAAAAATCAGAAGATATATTCCCAATTTGAAATAGAAATTAGTACTTTTCAGCAATGACCACATGGTCTGTGGATTTGAGTTCAGCTCGGTTTTTGAGATATCCATCCAGAGTTTTGACAGTCTCATAGGTCACTTTTTGATCTATAGCCATTTCTCTCCACTCTGCTTCCAAGATTTTACGAGCAAAATTTGGTGGATCTTCTGGTTTTTTGAAGAGCGCACCAGCCATACGGTACTAAAAACTAGAATCAGATATTCATATTATAAAACTCAGGGCAACCTTCTTATCAATATTGGCCGCATCAATTGCCAATTTTGACTGAACAGTCTTCAACTGTCTCTGACTCTCATCTGATGTTTCCGAATCTTCTGAACTTGAGGAATCTCTGGATCTCGAATTCCTCTTTCTTCTTTTCTCTTTTTTCTTCTTTTTCTTTTTTTCTGTTTTTGTCACATAGCTTGATCTCTTCTGAGCTTGTTTCTCCTTCTTCTTCTTCTCAGCTTTCTTCTTTTTCTTCTCGAACTTTTTCTTTATAAGATCCTCAAAAAGTCAAACAAGTTTGGAAATCTTGATTTTCGGCACAGACTTACCATCCGATTTTTATCCGCTCTTCTTGACGCTGGTTTCTATTTTTCAGCAATATCGAACTAATTCATCAAAAATAACTCTCTTTTTTGAAAGATCCTGATCAACAGAGCTGCTATTTGGCAGTTTTGAACCTTTTTGCTCCGGTGATGACGCAAAAATTGAAAAGTTTGATTATTATAAAGCAAATGTGATGTTCGTAGCTGAGTCAGAATTTTCGGGGGCTACAATCACACCTTTGGTCTTTGAATATAAAATATAAATATAAAAATTTATTGGAAAAAATTCTATTTTCGTTCAAATAAAAAACAATTGAAGTCGTCGTCCTCCTGTCACTTGAGGTTGATAGAATTTCTTTATAGATGCCAATATTTCAGAAGTACACATAAAGTAATCATTTAAGAAACCGGATAGAAAATTATTTAAATAGAGAGGGCTATAAGACTTTCAGAACTGAATGAAATTTATATCTATAGCTATAGCAATATACTGAAAATATAGTGCGTTGCAGGTTCTCAAGTCCACCCATGCTTAGGGTCATAACTTGAGAGCTGTTAGAGGTATCGGCCTAATTTTTTAAAAATCAAATTCGGGACAACAAATTACATATAGTGGACAATTTTTGTAATGAAACTTTGAAAGCTACCCGAGTTATCTCAAAAAGTCTGAAAATATACCTTTCGCAACCGTTGCAAGTTTATACGTTCACTCCAAAGATCACCTCCAGCGAAAACGGAGGTGTCCAATTTTGATTCATCCTTCTTGGAATCGGGATTGGAAAAGAGAAAAATGAAATGGAAGATGTAAAAAAGGATTTATTGAAAAACAAATAATTTCAAATATAGCTATTCCTAAACATATCAACAAAAATTATGAAAAATAACAAGTTTCAAAAGTGTACTGATTAGCCAGACTTTCGTCTGTTGATCCCTTTCGCCACGTAGAGGCTCAGTACATGAAAGAGAAAATGGGTTTTCACTGGGGGAAAACACCAACACAAAACCCCTGTCTCCGAGGAGACAGTTTTCTAATTTTCAATAGTTATTTTTCACTGCTAAAAAGCTATACGATCGTTTTTTATTGTCTAGTTCATTTCTTTCTTTTTTCTTTGATTGGGTCTTTTGCAAAAGGGGGACGTTCAGTGAAAATGAATTCACCTAGCCATGAACCACCAAACATGGCGACCCTTAGGGCCTTTTATAACTTTTTTCGCTTCCGACCAATCGAAAGAAAAAAGCAAATGAAACAATAAACAGCTTACACAGGGAGCTTGAGGGCAGTCAAAAAGTGCTAGTGAAAATTACCAATTTAATTCAATAAGTGGGATTTCCCAAAGGACTGTTTTTTTTCAATACGTGGAGTTTTTGCAACTTTTTTTCAAGTCGCCGACAGTGGTTTTTTACGTTTTTTACCTGCCGGACATGAAATTGAAAAATATCCGGAAAATTTGCCACATAGGAAAGGCGCCCGCTGCCGTTGCCTAGGTTTCTCACTGAAAATCCTCGTCCCCCGGCGGCACCTTTTTTTGAATTTTTTTCCTTTTCAACGGCGTTTTTTGGGAATTCCGGATTTTTTTTGAATTTTTTCGCAATAATATTCGGAAAATAGATAACTTTTAACACATTTTAATGCAATAAAAATTTTTGGTCGGAGTCCCCCTTTAACGTTTATTGCGTAACGTGTGAAAAGTTTAAAAAACTCCGAAATGGAAAGCAGATTTACGTAACCCATTAAATAAGTGAAAAACTAAGGGCGAACGAGTAAAAACTAGGTTGAATCGCTCCGAATGCACCTTCGATTGTTTTATTTATTCGTCAATTATCTCGGTTCCTATAAAAGATACTCGAAATTTGTCAACTAATAAAATGTTAGTGGCATAAACGGTGATAATTTTGTCAGATACTTTTTTAGAATGAAAAACATTCATGCTAAGGTTATTTTGGTAGATCATGTTAAACTTTAACACTTTCACCCAGTTGGATCCGATGCACTGTTGAAAGAAGTTGAGACTACGTACTTTGTGATCGTCATTAGGTGTCGAAGCTGGGACCATGATTGCTCTTTTGATGCCTGGATCATCTTTGAGACATCTCTAACCCGTCCAAGTTTTAAGTTTCAGCACCATGACACGACTTCAAAGAGTTTATAACGACAGTACTGGTAGAGGGTTGGGATCTTGAGGGCAGAATTTGAGCTGATCCTGTTTTTTCGTTAATTTTCGGATGAGAAAACAGTCGATATGACAGTGTGAATGATTTAATTGCTTTCTGATAGCTTTTTGGTCCATCCAGCTGCTCCAACTGCCCTGATTGAAGCTTTTCCAGCATCAGTCGGCAAAAGATCCCATGACATGATACAAATTTAAAGACAGAGAAACACGTATTGAAAACAACTTGTTTACAGTGATTTTAGTTGTACAGAATTAAAATTGGACACCTCCGTCTTCGCTGGAGGTCGTGATCTACTGTTCTTTGGAGTGGACGCATAAACTTGCAACGGTTTCCAAAGAAATAAAAGGTATATTTTCAGACTTTTTTAGATAACTCGGGTAGTTTTCAAGGTTTCATTACAAAAATTTTCCACTAGATTTACCGTAAAATCTGTATTGATATTGCGCCTCTATTTGAATTGCCCCTCTAATAGACTTGCACCCCTTGAGGGCACTTGAAAAATAGACTTGCAGCCTTTAATTGAATTGCCCCCGTAATACAATTGCATCTCCAGCAGAATTGCGGCTCCGCCGGGAGTACTGTGCAATTTTTAGTCTGTGACACCGTGACGAACAATTGCACAGTTGTTTTTCGAATTTCTTTTTTTTAAAACTACCTACTTAATTTCTGATTTATTTTTATTTTTCTTTGTTTTTTTAACAATATTTTCCATTTATTGAAGCGAGCAACACGAGCAATGAGTTCTGAAGAAGTCCTCGAAGACGTGGAAAACGTAGAAGACGTGGAAGACGTGGAAAACGTGGAAGACGTGGAAGACGTGGAAGACGTGGAAAACGTGGAAAACGTGGAAGACGTGGAAGACGTTGAAAAAGTTGGTGGAAACTCTAGAAAGAGAAAGCGTGGAGCCCACCCCTTGGATTACAAGCTTACGGTGGTGAAATGGGCAGAATCAAAAAATAACACGGAAGCAGCTAAGAAATTTGGAGTTTCAAGACAAAATGTGCAACAATGGAGAGCTCAGAAAGAAAAAATAATAGCAACAATCGCTGAAAATGGAAAAAAGAAAAAACGGCTTGATGGCGCAGGGCGTAAAGTGAATGATAAAGATTTTGATACTAAACTTGCGGAATGGGTCCGAGAGCAAAGAGAAAAAAAGCTTCGTATTACTCGTATTGGAATCCAGAATCGCGCCAAGTCTATTTCAAATAGTGATATGAAGGTTTGAAAACAGATTACCTACTTGAGATTAAACATTAAATGTTGCAGTTCTCGAATGGATGGCTGGTTTCTTTTTTGAAGCGGCATGGATTTTCGAGTAGACGTGCTACAACAGTCTTCAAAAACCGCCAGAGTTTTATGTGGAGAAAATTATTGACTTTCTCCTTTATGTGGAACGATTAATTACCATGAATAATTATGACAAAATTTTCGCATGTGATGAGACGGCGGTTTATCTGGATTGTTCGAATAGTTTGACTGTAGCGGATCGAGGATCTAAACAAGTCAGCACACTCAAAAATAACAAGCTAAACGTTTCAATTTCAGGTTTCAGTGAAAACCACGGGACACGAGAAATTGCATGTTACAGTAATGCTGTGCGCTCGATCAGACGGTTTTAAGTGCAAACCTTTTGTACTTCTTCCAAGAAAAAGACCAGTGCAAAGTATTGAGGAAACATTTAGAAAAACTTTGCAGTTGGTTTGGTGTGACAGAACATTTTTCAACGATGAAATCACAAAAACTTTTCTTGAAAAAGTTCTCGGTCACTCAATGTTCGGAAAAAGGTTGTTAGTATGGGACTCTTACCGTTGCCACATCAGTACAGACACTAAAAAAGTATTGAAACAACTGAGACTAGACACTGCGGTGATTCCTGGAGGATGCACAAAATTCTTACAAGTGAGTAGATTTTATTGAAACTTTGCGTGACCCGATTTTTCAGGCTCCAGATGTATATTGGAACGCAATGTTTAAATCTTTCATCAGAAAAGAGTACGAAGATTGGATGGTTCATGGAACGAAATCGTTCACCCCGGCGGGAAATATGCGTGCTCCCAGTATGGAAGTTTATTTGAAATGGATTCAATTGGCGTGGGAAAATATCCCGAAGGAATACATTGTAAGATCATTCAAAGGATGCGGATTAAAAAATGGAAGAAATGGCGAAGATGATGAGGCAATTCATTGTTTCAAGAAAGATGGAGAAATTCCAGAAGGCGTACAGTTATTGAAGACAAGACGAGCAGAACGAGAAATGGAAGAAATTCAGGAGATTTTGGGAGATATTGAAATTGAGGAAGACGATGGAGAAATGAACCATGCCGAGGAAGAAGACAATAACTATGACAGTGACGCCTCAATTTTTTGAATATTTTCCTTTTGTTGTGTTCAATTTGTTACTTTTTTGTTGATTTTCATAATAAAACTTTTTTTTTCAAAATTTTCGTAGTTTGAAAAATAGAATTGCAGCCTCTATTTGAATTGCCCCTCTAATAGAGTTGCACCCCTTGAGGTGACTTGAACAATAGACTTGCATGCAATATCAATACAGATTTTACGGTAATTTGTTGTCCCGAATCCGATTTTCAAAAAATTAGACCGATGCCTCTAACAGCTCTCAAGTTATGACACTAAACATGGGTGGACGTAAGAACCTGCAACGCACTGTATTATTTGAAATATTCATTTAAGAAATTCCGCAATGTTTTTACGTTGCTTTGAGCCAGACGAAGGGCTGAAATGACCTTTTTCAAATTTTCACTGATTGGTGTCATCAATCAATTCATTCAGTA